AAAGGTAAATTATGTGAAAAATAATGTTTTTTTTTTTTTTTTAAATGAAGCATTAACACGTGTTAGACTGCACCCCATAAACACAATCAAGCCTAAAAAAAAAAACAGTCAACCACCCCTTTAAAAGCTAATTCAACATTTTTTTCTATTGACATAATTATTGTATGTACACATTATGTACAATTATGTAAGCTGTACTTTTGTGTGGATGTATATAACAGACTGTAAGTAAAGAGTTGCTAGTTTTTCTCCTCTTTATTAAACAGTACTTGTTTAATGTATTACAGTAACAACCAGGGAGAACAAACTTTCACTCTCACACCACCCACAATAAACACAATATTTTATAATTAATTAAATAAATATATTACTTTCATAAATTACAATTGTCCTAATACAATAAATAATCGATAATTATACACATTTTATTATAACTGTTAATTGTAATTATAATTATTTATAATTGTAATATTATTAATCGTAATAATTTTATTTGACACTAAAATTTACAATATTATTTATATATTAAATTCTTCACGTTTAAAGCTTTTATTTAGGTGGTTTTCTGTAAACTTATATCCTCAGAAATGTTGGGAACTATGCAAATAAAATGTACCTAGCGCACATTGTGTTACCAACTGCTATACAGAGTTGGAGTTTTTTAGAAGCAGCAATTACTGTCAACTGAGGCTGAGAACTGAACATTTATTAAACAGTTTAGGGCTATCAAATATAAAGTATCCAACTGTCCTAAGTAAATGTATCTTTATAGAAATAGACTCAAATAAGAAAAAAAGTACAGGAAAATTCTATAAACAGTGGCGCAGCTGAGTGGTGGGTTGCTGGAATCTACATGCAGATTCAGGGACTGATCACCCCAAAATAAAAACGTGTCATTATTTACTCATATTGTTTGAAATCTATATGAATTTCTTCTTCTGCAGAACACTAAAGATCATATATTTAAAAAAACGAAGAAAAAAAAAAACTGTTTTTATACGCTGACTTTCTGAAACACTGAGACATATTGAAATATATGAGAGCCAGTTTGATCTCTAGGAGCTCTCGGTTTCCGGTGTAATAATTGTGCTCTGCATGGGTGAATTTCTTGGAGAAGTAAGCACATGGATGAAGATGGGCTCGATTCCCCTACTGCTTGGAGAGGACAGTACCCATGCCTGTTGTAGAAGCATCAACATCGACAATGAATTGATATCTGGATCATGGCTTAAGCAGAGAAGTGGACGTGAAGGCTCCTTCAGTCGTTGAATGGCGTGGGTGGCCTTGGGTGACCAGGACAGAGATCTGGGCATTTTCTTTAGGAGTGATGTTAAAGGAGCTGTGATCTGACTGTAGTTCTAAATGAATCAATGGTTCAAGTTTGTAAATTGGAGAAAGTGTTGGAGTTTTTTGATTGTAGATGGTTCTGGCCATGACTTAACCATTATTCAACCATGGTTGAATGCTTCAACCATATCTTCATACATCTTGATACTATCGGTACTGATGACATATTCTAGGAACTGGGTGGAGGACTGATAGAATGAACACTTTTCAGCTTTGAGATATACAGAACTGTGCAAAAGTCTTAGGCCATTGGTATTTTCACGAGCAAAAATGGTTTTAAGTCAGTTATTTCTATCTTTTGCTGTAGTGTGTCAGTAGGAAATATCAGTTTACATTTCCAAACATTCATTTTGCCATGAACTGTAATCCAGTGAGATTTTTGTATGCACAAGAAGTCTGTCAACAGCCAATATGCTCCACACAGAGATCTGATCTCGCCATCATCGAATCAGACTAAATCCAAAACTGTGACAACATCTCCAAGGCACATGAAGAAACCTTCCTACAAACTACTTGAAAAAATATGAAAAAAGCTGTTTTAAATGCAAAGGGTGGTCACAACAAATGTTGATTTGATTTAGTTCAGTGGTTTATAATCCTGGTCGTGGGGACCAACCGCTCTGCACATTTTGCATGTCTCTCTTATTTGACACACCTAATTCAGATCATCAGCTCATTAGGAGACTCCATGAACTGAACTGAATGTCTCAAGTAAGGGATACAGACTTGATGGTGGTGAGATCAGTTCTGTAAATTAAACTGATATTTATTACTGACACACTACAGCAAAAGATAGAAAAAAAGCTTAAAAGCTTCAAAACATTTTTTGGTGAAAATACTAATGGCCTAGGCACAGTATGGTAGATAGGGTTTTCTCAGCTTGACCAGGACGAGCTCCTTCAAGTGGTGAAGTTCTGGTTCATTCTGGGAGTACACAAAGATGTCATCGACCATGATAAGGCACTAAAGGTACTCCCGGAACACCTCGTTCATGAACCCTTGAAACACGGAGGGGGTGTTGACCAGATCATACAGCATCACTCTGTGTTCATAGTGGCCAGTAGGTGTCATGAAGGTGGTCTTCCACTTGTCCTCACTCTGGATCCAAATCAGGTTGCAAGCACTGTGCAGGTTAAGTGTGATGAATATTGTCACTCTATGCAACAGTTCCAAGGTAGCCAGAACAAAGATAATAAGTGGATAATGATATTTGACTGTAATTTTGTTCAGTGACCAGTAATCAGTGCAAGGCCTCAAGCCTCCATCCTTTTTGGCCACAAAGGATTTGTTAGACTGGACCAATGAAATACTTGATGGTGCCTCTACCTAGTGCTTTTCCAGTTATGGAAAATTGGATTGTATATATGGATGTACAGACTTCTTTTCTGTGCTTGAGTTGATGGCAGCATTCCCAAGATGATGTTTCCAGTTGACCTAGAGTTGAGGAGAGTATTAACTGTAAGAGACACATCAGAGGCAGTAAAAATCAGAGTGGAAGTTAATGGCTTGACACCTAACTCACCATGGGACGAGGAAGGAGGATGGGACATGCTGACCTCACTTGTCCCTCACCATTGCATTACAGACATAAATGCGGGGCCAGCTGGCAGAGACATTCAGCAAGGGATAGGAGAAAGGCATCAAATTACATGGCCTCTACTGCTGGATCTAGAGGAGCTGATGAAGTTACAGCCACAGCACCAGAGTGAAACCTTGATGATGGTAACACTGGCTCATTCCATCCACTAGAAGCGTTGAGGTGAGAAATCTTTGCCTTGGCATAACCTGAATAGCTGTTCAGTCACAGACATATCACCAGCTGGATGGTTCCAAATGATCTCTTCCCATTGGAGAGCTCTTCCAATTAGTAAGGAAATAATCAAAGACATCTTAGCCCTCTCAGTGTGGAATCGCAGCAGCTGCATCTTGAGGGGCAAGTGAGCAGTGGAGAAGAAAGACCTTGCAGCCCTCTCTGGAGCGAGAGTAGGGAGCTGGATTGGTCATAGTGTACACAGGTGACAAAGAAGGACCAGGAAGAGTGACTGTGGTTCTAGGTGTCTGGGTAGAAACACAAGAGGTGAGGTGAGAGTATGTTGTAATACATCAACAAGTTCCTTCAATGGATCATTTGGGTTGGTTCCTGTCAGGTTAATCTTTTAGGTCTGGCCTTCTATCACAATATGGCACAGACTCAAAAATGATAACACAGAATGTGAAACAAATGGTGGTAAGTTTATTGAAAGTGGCATTAACATAACTTAACAGGTGAGTATAACTTTATAGTGTGCAGTGACTGTGGTGACTTGAATAATGGTGCTAGGATTTGTCTTACTGGATTTTGGGAACTCACTGGAGGTGAGGTGACAGATGAGACGAAGAGAAGACCTTGAAGACTCTGAGATGATATTCAATCAATTTGGAGTTGACTTAGTAGACTTAGAGAAGACTTGGATTACTGGATGATGACTTTGGACTGACTTGGAACAGAAATTAGGAAGAGGATACCGGTAGTTTTTCCAAGGTAAGTATCCAGGTAAGAAAGCCCGTATTTTTCTAGATGAGGTCATACAACTTTTGATGGTGTGTGTGTGTGTGTGTGCTTTATAGTGCTGGTGATGAGCGCTGATGAGTGACAGGCATGTGTAGTTAGTACCCTGGTGCTTATGATGGCTGGGTGAGAAAGGGAGAGTCTGGCATGACTGTGATGTTTCTGTCCCTCCATTAAAATTCCAGGTAACCAAAACTTTGAGGATCCAGAAAGGTCCTACAGGTGTCATAAAACAAATCCATATGAACCAAGCAGTTTAATCCAAGTCTTGTGTAAAAGATACAATCTCTTTATATTATAAACTTTTGGTTTCCTAGACAATGGAGGGGCAGAAATATTTCAGATTTCATTCAAATATCCTAATTTGTGTTTGAAGATGAACCACAGTCTTATGAGTTTAGAACAACTTGAGTGTGAGATACAATGGCAGACTTTTCATTTTTTTTGGTGAACTAACCCTTTATAACTGGAGTGAGCTGAATGATTGAGTTGTTGACAGGCTTAGAAATATATTATTTAATCACATACCAAACCCCTCTCAGCATGACAATTTTTGTACATCTGTTGACTTTTTGTCATTTGGCAAGGCCAAATGTTTGCTATAAAGTCATTAAATCAATTAGTGTTTTGCAGGTTTTGTGCATATCTACTAGCTTTAAGGTCATCTATATGCTAGTTAACTTTTAAACATTGACCAAAAAAAAAAAAAATCAGAAGCAGAAGCAGATTTAAATTAGCAGTTTCTCTCTATTTACTAAACAGATACAAGCAAAACCGATACTCGCTCCGCTCCAACGGCTCTCAGCACCGCCCCACTCGTCACAGATGTAATTGCTCAGGTCAAAATATTTTAACATGTTACTACCTTACACATACTACTACTACTACTACCAAAAATAAACAATTTGCTTGTGCAATGAAGCAATGCTTTTATCCAAAAAACTAGAAAATAGGTGAGCAAGAGCCAACAATATCCATAATGTACAATGTCACTATGCATAATGTACTATGCTTTATTAGAATGCAAGCTAGAAACAAGCTAGAGAAATGAAAAAGTATGTGCAGTGTGTCTTCTGATGCAGATCGGGTGGAGGTTGATGAGCAAAATGTTTGATGACCATATAAGCTTTACCACGCTCATTTCAACAATGGCCAGGTTTTGCAGGTTTGCACTGTACAACATCAGAAAATCAGACCATTCTTTTATGTGACACAGCTCCTCGTTCAAGTCAATACAAGGACAAGACTCAATAACCAAGATAGAAAACACAGGGGTATATAATGGCTGACACAAATGAGCAAACAAGACACACCTGGAATCAATGATAGGGTAATCAACAGAAAAAACTACAACTAGATTACAAATATACAGGAAACTGAATAGACAAAAGACATGACCCTAAACAGAAAACAGACCAATACCATAACAGGCAAGTGTACATCCAATGTACACTCTTAATCATTGTGGGTATGAATGAGTGAACAAATGTAAGGATGCAATTTTATAAATGTAATTAAAATTTTAAATTTAAATTCAATTTTAAAAATTGAATTCAGACACCACTACAAAGTTAGGACACTGTGTGAAAAATCTGAACAAATTAAGTGTATTGCATTAGCTATTACTGCTAATTACCATGTTGCCATGAACTAATTTATTGTAACCTCTTATTAAGTAATATGTATGTGTGTTCAGTTTAATGAGACGGGCCGAGGCAGCGTGTGCAGTCAAGCCATCATGTTGGTGACGGATGGAGCTGTGGAAACATATGACGCTGTCTTTGCCCAGTACAACTGGCCTGATAGAAAGGTAAGAAGAGTTTCTGTATTCCCAGTTTGCGGAGTCAAGTGCAGAATAATTTTACAGACTGGAATGCTTTAAATGTAGTAACAATTATTGTCTCACAGAGTTTTTATACATTTTCTCACATAAAGAATGTCAGATTTTATCAGAGATTGCTGTTCCTGTTTTTTTTTTTTCCCAATCAGTTTTTACTGATGAGTAAGAGTTGTTAGAGATATATTAAAATAATAATATTCAGTTCAAAATAATAATATTCAGTTCAGGAGACACTCCAAATATGAGTTAATACTAATACACTCCTTCATCCATCCCTGAATAGGGAAGGATGGGATGTCAAACTCTAAATAATTTTCAAAGGGTAAAAATAAATAAATAAATAAATAAATACATACATAAATAAATTTAACGTAGTTTGTAAATCGGGAAGAAGGAGGCGGGAACCTGCGAACATTAAAGATTTTAATAATAAAATAACCAAACACAAAATAGCGCACAAACAAAACCAAAACACAAAATAAACTCCAGGCCTGGTTCTCTCTCGTCTTTCACTGTCATCCCTCCTCCTTTTTATCCTTCCGGAGCTCCTCCGTGAGACTCGAGACCGGTGAGTGGCGCAGGTGTCGCGCATTAGCAATTACTCCACCGGCCTCGCTCCGTTCCCACGGCTCTCGGCCCCGCCCCTCTCGTCACAATAAATAAAATAAAACACATTTTAATTCCTTCTGAGACAACAGAGGCCTGTTGCACAAAGCCGGTTTGGGTTTTTACCCAGGTAAGTTCGCGTTAAGTTGGAGCAAACTCTTGAGTTTTTGAGCTCATGAAGGTGGGTTGGGTTTGAACGGGTTTCATCACCATGGTAACTTACGCTTCACAGCTACCCTGCTCCGGAGCAGGTTTTATTCTGGTTTCTATTCTCCAAACTGGACCAATCAGCTGTGAGCAAAGTGACATATATCTGATGCAATGAAGCCACTCCCCCTTATCTTTAGCTCCAAATTAAAGCAGCTTACAGTCAAATAATTTTAGAGACAAAATTGCTTGACCTTTGCTGCTACTTATTTATTTATTTATTATATTTATAGTATAGAAATTATAAATGTTTATAATTCAGTGTCAGGGTTCTGTCACTTCGGACTAGTTTATTCATGGTTTTGTGACAGAGCCCCCGTCACTCCCGTCATGTTGTTATTTTCATGTGAGCGTACGGCTTCGAGTGTGCTTGAGCCTTGCGCTCTCGTCTGCATGTCCTGTTTCCTTGTTTCATGTTGGAGCGTGGTGTTCGGATCCCGGCACTCATGTCTGGTTGAGTTTCGGTTTCGTGTCGGGGTTCGGATACTCGTGCTCTATGTTCTGTCTTGTTGTGGGAGCGGGCAGTCTCGAATTCGCTCAGGCCGTGCGCTCTTCTGTCCACGTTTATTGCGTTGTTTTGTTAGGTTCGTGTTCGGCCGCGTGCTTTACGGTTGTCTTGTGTTGTTGCATGCAGTTCATGTTTTTATCGGCTGCCTGCATTCATGTTATGTCTTGTGCTGTGTTGGCACTCATGTCTGGTTGAGTTTCGGTTTCGTGTCGGGGTTCGGATACTCGTGCTCTATGTTCTGTCTTGTTGTGGGAGCGGGCAGTCTCGAATTCGCTCAGGCCGTGCGCTCTTCTGTCCACGTTTATTGCGTTGTTTTGTTAGGTTCGTGTTCGGCCGCGTGCTTTACGGTTGTCTTGTGTTGTTGCACGCAGTTCATGTTTTTATCGGCTGCCTGCATTCATGTTATGTCTTGTGCTGTGTTGCACGCAGCTTGTGTTTTTCATTGGCTGTGTGCTTTCATGTTGTCATGTCTTGTGTGAACACGTGGCTTATGAGTATTCTCATTAGTTGCGTGTTCGTGTCTTGTTTTGCACATGGCTGGTGATTGTGTTTTGCTGGCCATGTGCTTTTGTTTTTGTTTTGTGTGGGCACATGGCTTTTGTCTTTGTTTTCTGTGTGCCATGTGCTCTCATGTCAATTGTCTTGACCCCATCCATCTTGTTACCTGATCATTGGTTCATTTGACCCACCTGTCCTCCCTCGTTACCTTTCTCATTTGCTCCCTATTTATTCTCCTTGTGTTTGCAGTCCTGTGCCAGTTCGTCATCGTATTAACCCTGGTTGTGCCCTGCCCTGCCTTTTCCTGTCCAGCCTTGCCAAGCCTTGTTGCCTGCTTGTTTTTCCCCCATGGGGTAGTTTTTGTTGTTGTTTTTGTTTTATTTTATTAATAAATGCCCACCTTCTGCACAACTGACTGCTCGTCTGATCCCTCTACCCAAACCCTGACATTCATATAATAATTATATGAAATGGCCGTTAATTTTAAGCTTTGCATTTAAATTGTATCCAACTATTAAAATGGCTAAACTTATATGTTTTCCTTTTGAGCTCTGTGTAAAACTATATATAAATAATTAAATTCATTTGATTCCTTTGCATAGTCATGTATTTTCTTTCTGCTGCCTTCTCAAACTTTTGCTGCAGCAACAGTGTTTATTCTTGCCTTGTAAATGCATTTAAATGCATTATATTTTTAATAACGACATCTCTTAAGCATCAGCAGAGAACTGAATTGTGCCAGCTCTCGCGAGAAGTGAATCAAACCAATGCTCTCCATGTTCCGTGTGATTGGCTGTTTGCTGCACACTTTCAGGTGCACGCGCTCCAGAGTTAATCACAAACTCTGGTTCAAACTCGGAGTTGACAGAGAACGTTTATATCGAGCTTTGTGAGCCCGCCGATCCTAATCTAAACCAGGTTGGATTTGTTTGGTTTTGACAACTCTAAACCTGCTCTGAAAATCTGAGTTTGTTCAGACAGCTTCATGCAACAGGCCACAGATGAAAAGCTGGATCTAGCTGGGCAGGTATGAAGAAAGAATTGTGGACTATGGGAATGGATAAACTATTTGTTTATGACCAACATGTGGTCTAAACTGCAGCCATATCCTATTAAAACTAATAACAACAGGTTTATTGGAATGGCATTTCTGAACAATAGAGGACAGTGCATGACAGTAAAATTAGCTACCTATGTCACACTGGTTTTGGGTTTTGTTTATTGTTCATTGTTTTCATGTCTTTTATTTTGTTATTTTGCCTTGTCATGGTTCTTTTTAGTCATGTGATCTTGCAATGTGGCCCTCTTGTACTTTTGTCTTGTTCCTTAGTTGCATGTGTCATGTTCTGATTGGTTGGTTCTTATCATGAATCAGAGTCAGAATAAGAAAGAGCTTTATTCCCAAGTGTGCTTACACACACAAGGTGTTACGGGGCGAACGAGACGTGTGAATCCATCTGCAATGCTTTTATTTAAAGGCGTGGCCATAAAATAGGCAAGGTTCTGACAATGGCAAACAGGTATATTGAGGGCATGACAAAAGAGTAATCCAAAACGGGCATGAGTCAGTCGACAGCGAACGTTATCCAGAGGGCTTGACAAGAGGGGGAGTTCAATAACACGAGCAATAGTCCAGGCGAGGTGCAAACACAGTCCGAAACAGAAAGGCAAAGGGTTAATCCAAGATAAACAGGCAAGAATCAGGTAACACGGGAAATCAGGCAAGACAAGACTATGACTAGGAACTAAGAACTAGAAACTAGGGGAGAAACCTGGCTCCGTAATGTGCTACCACTAGGAGAGCGATATACGCAAACACTACTTAGCAGTGAGAGAGAGGAAGTCCATGGCTTATGTAGGGTGTGTGATTGGCTGCAGCCGTGTGTGTAATCAGTGCAATGGATGATGGGAAATGTAGTCTGGGATGACATGCAACAGTTTGTGTAGTGTGGTGTGAGAGTCAATGTAATCGGAAAGTGTGACTTTTGGTGGTAATCCATGGACAGGATTTGCGACACGACGCTCCTATCTCAATATAATCCAGGAGGGCGGTGGAGCAGAGGCGGAACAGGGGGAGGGACGGAGGGTCAGGTCCACGTGGAAGTAGAGAGACCAGGGATTGAGGCAGAGCAGGGCACCCAGGCGGAACCGGCGAAGCAGAAAGCCAGGGCGGAGCAGGGAACCAAGGCGGAGCAGAGAACCAGGGTGACGCCGACGAAGCAGGTAGCCAGAGCGGAGCCGGCGGAGTAGACAGAAAAGAGGACCACTACGTCCTCGGAGCAGTTGGCAGTCGGAGCAGAAGATCACCACGGAGGAGCATAAGAACACCAGGCCGGAGCAGACGGAGCAAGAGACCACCACGGAGGAGCAGACGGAGCAGGAGACCACCACGGAGGAGCAGATGGAGCAAGAGACCACCACGGAGGAGCAAACGGAGCAAAAGACCACCACGGTGGAGCAGACAGAGCATAAGACCACCAGGCCAGAGTAGACGGAGCAGAAGACCAGCAGAGTGTAGCCGAAGACCACCACGACAGAGCAGACAGAGCTTTGGCCCACCAGAGCATTTTGGCAGACCGCCACGGCAGACCAGAGTGATCAGGAACCCATGGCAGGGACTGGGGCCTAGGGAAAACTGTAACACAGGAGACAGACAGTGCATTTACGTTCTCAAGGACTGAGGCAGGAAATACAGTGGCCTTATTAACGGTCTCTTTGGGCATTACTGACAGTGCTAAAAGTTCAGTGTTGGTCTCCTTGAGAGTGGCTGGACAGACAGACAGTTCAAAGTTGGGGGCATTGGCAAAAACTGAGTGGGTTGACAGTTCACAATTAGATTCAAGAGCAGACCTAAGACAGGTAAACAGTACAAAACCGGATTTATTTGTCTGAAAATAGACTGGTACACATTTCATAACCAAGATCAGTAACTGAAACAGGACTGACAGAAAGTTCAGATATATTACTCAAGATTGGGCAGACAGATAATTCAAAGTCTGGCTTATTGACTGAAACTGAACAAGAAGACAGTTCATAAACAGGCTTACAGATTAGGACTGTCAAGGCAGACAGTTCAGCAGACACATTTGGGGAAACAGAACAGGCAGACAGTTCATGAATGGTCTCTAGAGCAGTGACGGGGTTAACGAGA